GCCGTGTAATACAAATTAATTATTTATGTATTTTATTTTATTATTTGTTTTTGCATTACAATACTAATAATTGTTTTTCATTGTGGTAATTAAATTAATTAAATAATTTATTTATTTATTATGGTAATGAGAATTATATTTTTTACTTTTTTGCATTATAATAATGAGAATTTGTTTGTTTGTTTGTAATGGGAATGAGATTTATTTAGCATTTTTGTCATGAAAATTAGATTTTTTTTTGCATTATGACATGAAAAAATAGATTGATTTTTTGTTTGTTTGTAATGAGAATAACATTTATTCGCATTATGGTCATGCAAATGAGAGGATTTTTTTTTTTTGTATTATGATACTAAAAATCAGATCATTCATTCATTCATTGTAACGAGAACAAGATTTATTGATGAGATTTATTTTGCATTACGGTAATGATAATTAGATTATTTTATTAATTTATTTTTAATTTTTGTATTGCGGTAATTGTCATGAAAATGTCACAAAGCAAAATATTTTAATAGTCCTAAAAGCAGGATTTATTTGCTTTATGCAGCAAAGAATTTCATGTGAACTATTACCCAGGCATGTTCTTAACAGGTTTCATGAAATTCACCCTAATGTTTGTGAAAAGGCTGAACAATATTCATAATTTATTTGAATGTTCACATCACCCAGCCTTATACAGAAGGGCATTACAGCCTACAGGTGTTTTGAGTATATTGAGGATATAGTTTGAGTGTATTTCGGGTCTTTTTTCTGTTGTGTTGTCCTCACGTCTCTCTTCTGGTCTGGTTGCGTTCTCCTCAGTTGCCTGTCCGAGTTTAAAAGCCCGAGGTGTGACGAGAGAGCTAACCCATGCGATCACTACTGTCAGAACCAGGGCGTTTGTTCCCTCACCACCTATAACAAACCTCGCTGCAAGTAGGTCTTCCTGGTTCATTCAGTTTCCAAAACATTCCAGAACATTCCCACAATCCCATCCGCCGCGGTCAGCATGTGTCTGGGCTGTTCGTGGAATAAAAACGCACAAACATCGCAAACCAACTCGCACAGCTTCCAAGAGCACGTTTCACATTTCGCATTGCACTCCGCTTTTCCGGACACACGCCGCCATCTCTCCGCACCATGCTGTAGGTGTGCGTTTCTCAGTGTTTGTTTCATTTGTATGTTTGTCATGACTGGTATTTTTGAATATGTAATAGTGGTTATCGTTCTGCATATGCTGAGGACAAACTGTCTTTGATTGCTCTTCTGGTATCCATTATTTATCATCTTTTTTTGTTGGAAAATTCATAATTTCCTTTATTTGTTCTCTTTCCATTTTGCTGCTCTTTTGTTTTTCCATATTTGACACGTTTTTCTGCTTTTCGTTTCTTTCTTTTTTTGAACGTTGCTCATGTTTAAACAGGGCACTTTTCACAAATATGGTACACATGGTGTGTCATAATGTTTTTTCCTCGCAAAAATAAATAAATAAATAATGGAATTTATTTATTTATTTTATTTGTTTATTTATTGTTTATATGTTGTTTATTTATTTGTTTGTTTGTGAAGCCTATTAAATATGTTTTTTATAAACTAATATATAACATCAAATGGACCCAGCATGAAAACCTGCTGTATTTCAACGTAGAAACATTTATGTATCCTCCCCTTAAAATGGTCAGTTTATAAAGTTATGGCATTATTGATTAAGTCTAACAATTAAAATCTGTTGCATAACATCACATATATCAATATCATATCAAAATAATATTTGAAATAAATAAAATATGCTATGCATATATATACACACACACACATCACACAAATAATTTTGATATTTATTTATAATCACTACAAAATGTATTATATGTTGTGTATGTACTGGTTTTAAACGTTATTTATTATTTTGTTATGTATTAGATTAATATCATATTTATTGCATTGCTATATTATATATATATATATATATATATATATATCTTTCACAATTTCACAATCTTTTTTATTTGTAGGATATCTAAATAAATTTGTAAAATTATAATTGGTACCCTATCCATGAAAATTTCCTCAGACATTTCCAAGCATTTAGTTTTATCCAGCAGAAGAATTTTATCTAGAGGGATGTTCCCACCACGATCTGTTTCTTCTAGATGTTCTGTCACCTCCTTCAGACAGCAGTGCATCCATGTGCATCCTCCTGCAGGAAACAGAATCCCTGTCCACAGGAAGTTTGATTAAATATTGCTTTTGAACAGTTTCATTCACGCCACCATCTCTCATAAGCGCATTCTCTCTCACATCCCTGGAGTTCTGCTGTGGACGCATGCCGTTTGGATCCAGGAAGTCCCTTGTCACACAAACACACACTTTGCATGTGTCTCAAGTAAAAACAATGCATCCCTTGGGCTGGATTTTACACCTCCTCCTGTGATTTAAACTGCGTGTGTCATTAAACCTTGCTTGTCAAAACCAAAATCATTATAACAAATGATACCATAATAATGAATAAAGGAAACCCAGAGAGAGAAAAAAAAACTAATTAGTGAGGTATAAGGGGTAAATTAAAACCATTATTTTGTATAAATCTAATCAAATGATTATTTGAAGAAGTCGATGCATTGTAAATTTCACCAGCTGTGATTTTTGTTTCTTTGTTCACAGGTGCTCTGCAAACTGGTCAGGAACACAGTGCGAAAGACCCACACCCAAGACCAACCGCTCAGAAAACTTTAGCGGGAGTGAGTATCACAAACACACATACTTGTGAAACGTCATCACAATCACAGTTAGATTCCAATGGTGTTTGTTTTTAGCACATCGCTAAGCTAATGGCACAAATATATCAAACAATTTATGTAATGCCATAAATATTGGGTGAAATGTTGTTTGTAATTAGATCATTCTTATTATTTAAGAAGAATTTAGAATTATGTTATACTCAGCACTTCCCATATAGTCCACCATTTTGGATGATCATTGCAATGCATTCTGGGATTGCCTTATTTAAGCAAATTAGAATTTGGCCAAAACAAAGCATGTTTAAAGTGGTGTAATTCCTTAATTTGACGTTAGTCAGTCAGGAGAGAAAACTGAGTTTGTAGTGATTAACATTCCCCTAATCGTCAGTCAAACAGTGTCAGACAGTTCATTCATTTCATTTTTTGAAAAGAAGAGTTGACATTTTAGCCATGTTAGCTAAGAGAGGTTAGCCGTTAGCATCAAGTGTATGAAAACTTTTGAAATTTGAAAATCATGGTAAATTGTACTTATTTTGTCTTCTGGAAAAATGTAAGTATCTCTTGTAGCTTCTGAAGGGCAGTACTAATGTACACATCTTCATTCTGTTCAAAAGTTTTCACCCCCCCGGCTCTTAATGTATCACTAAATATATAATGTATACAAAGTATGTGCATTTGCATTCATATCACTTCCATTTTATGTAGATAAATTGTACCTAAATAAATGTAAAATACATTAATTTTTTTCTGTTCTTTTTTTTTTCAGGAAGTATTGCCATAATAGTGCCTCTAGTTCTTCTTGTATGCATTATCGCCGCTGTTGCAGTGGGACTCCTTATTTGCAAAAGATGTCAAAGGTAAACACATAAACAAATCTGTAATTAGCTGGATTAGATGTCTAATCAGAATATTACACATCTGATTTATTGATAATGCTGTAGAAAATCTCGTAAGCCAGCTGTGCTTCAGCGTTTAACTGTTGTGCTAAATGTTCCTGTGAAAACTATACAAAGATAATACACATTTATCCCTTCACAGAGGTAAGCAGGTTCAGCGGCAGCCCATGGCGAATGGTGGCTTGAATGTGGAGATCGGGAATCCGTCCTATAACATGTACGAAGTTGACCACGACAATCACGTAGATGTGGGAAGCTTTCTTCACCCCAGCTTTACCCTTGACCCTCATAAGGTACTAAACGAATAGGAACTGTAAGTTCTTAACATGACTTTATGGATTTAACTGACGAACTGTAAGTGGTTTTGACGTAAATTACGTAATTTGTTGGTCTTAACTTTTTTTTTGTCAATCTAATTGTGAATGACCATGTGTCAAAATCTGTGAAATGACAGTGCTTTCTCGTGAACATTGGTGTAAATTATTCATAAAACAATTCCCACATTTTTTCGTGTTAAGTTCAAAATGGCAATTTATGTAAGAATAGTTCAACATTTTTCCATAAATTTGTTCTGCTGGTAATTTATAAAGTTTTTTTTTTTTTTTTTGCCATTTCTGTTCGTTTTAGTTTTTGTTTTAATGTGTCTAGAAAGTTTTTAGTTTTAGTTATTTTTAGTAGCCTACCTCAACTTTAAGCGAAAAATGAAACTAGCTGAAATAAAAGTTTACTTTTCTATATCTTATTTTCAGTTAATATTTAAGTAATGTTTTTTAAAAGTTAACAAAAATAGCTCTGATTTTTCCACATTCAAACAAATGAAAATAACAAATTTAGCAAAACAACAAATCATGAGATAGCTCAGATTCAGTATCCAAAAATGTCCTGAAGTGTTCCATATGGTGTGAGGTTTCTATGTGTCTAAAGTCTCCATGTGTTTTGCTTGGTTTAGTAAAACAGAAAATGTTCTTTGTTCTCTTTTATTTATCCAGTGTCCCACAAGGACATTTAGTCTTATGGGACCGAT